ATGAAGTATTGAAGAGAGTTGCAGAAGCTACCTGTCACGCCCATTACACCTAGAGGGAGTCTACTTCTGTCCTGTTCCTAGTTCCCTGTGATTATTCATGTCTTTTTGGTGTGTCTTGTTGTGTAGCCCATTTATTTCCTGTTTCTGCTCTGCTCCTTCGCTCAGCACTGAGGTTCGGATGTCCTGAGACCCGCCTAGCACCAGGTCGCCCCATGTCCGCTACCTGAGGGCATAGGTTTCTATACGGCATTTTCTGAACAGCTGAGCCCGGGCTAACCCCCATTTCGGTGCTACGCATATGGTCTATTTCGCTCTCCTGCCATTCCACGGTTCGTCTCTTCCGACATCCGTGACACTACCCAGCCATGTTATTGAAGCTCACACCCTGGTTTGGTATGAGAAAAAGGCTGGGTGGGATCCTCAGATCAGTTAGGTTCTAGTAAGCAACCAAGCTAGGTGGGTCAAATGTGCTCCCCCTTGTTTCTAGTGGGCTCGTGGGACTCAGGTCAAACTGAATCCCAGTGTGCAGGACAGAGACTGGAGGGTCACCGAGCACAAATACAGCAGTGGTGCACAGTGAACAGTGGTGAACAGTGGATTCGTGTCACAGCTTTGTAATATTCCTGTAAGCACTGAAGGCTTTCATGTTGGGGACGTGGACACGAGCACGCTTCACGTACAGAGCCACGACACCTACCGGCTGTGGCTTTCTCTGGCTGTGCTGACGCGTCGGGACCATGGTGTTCCTTCGCTGAGGAATCTGTGCAGAAGGAGAAGCATTCGTCACCATGAGGCCTGGACTGGCAGCAGCCCCGCCCGAGACACTTGGACCGCAAGCAGAGGGCTGGCGTGGCACACAGCGAAGGACGGGAAACAGCTATTTTTTCTTAAAGAAAGTGAGTGCAATTCTGACTTGCGCTTACAAAACAGGGCCACAGTGGAACATTGTGCTTTTTTGTGTGAACCGACTCAGTTACGGTCCAGGACAAAAGAGAATTTGTTTTCAATTTTTAACAGGCAAGCCGTGGAGACCCGCTCTGAAATGAAACAGTTTGTTCCTCTGCAGGAGCTCCGATCGCATTCCTGATCTTGGAATAAGGCTCTTGTTGCCGTAAATGGCAGTGGGATCCCTTCTGCTGACAGCCCACACTTGCCTCCTTATTCCCATAAAACCTCCACTGCCCGACAGCGAGAACAAAAGAGCAATTCAACTGGGACGCGCAGGTGTTTCAATCTCCTCCAGTGGACTGCAGGAGCTTGAACCCGCTGATGACACCCTTGTCAAGCAGTTCACCACGGTGAACTGGCGCCACTTCACCATGACGTCATAGCCGTGTCTCGTATGTCACTCAGCTGTACCCTGGTAAGAGGTGCAATGTCATGCTCATGCAGTGATCTGGGGTGGAGGCAGTTCTGGGGGGGACTCGGACTCTTACTTGGGGGTGTCGGGGAGCAGGGGGTGCCCCCGTGTCCGGGGATGAGCAGCTTGCAGGGCAGAGCGAAGCTGGTGATGGCGTGCTGATACACCAGGGCAGACAGGCTCCCTGCGTCAGAAGAAAAACACTTCGCTCAGACATCCGAAGAGCACAGATACCTTAAACAGAGCTGATCACAGTTCACAAAGTGGCACTAGCAAAGTCGCAAGCTCCCCAGCTGAATTCTTCACAGTCTGACGCTACGCAGGAGTGCAGTAATGTTGCAGCCGTGTTTCTGAAGCTCTCGCAAGAAATGGCTGGATGAGATCCTGGGATCAATTTAACACACAAAACTACTAAACGGGCCAAACAGGATGGATCCTCTCCACTCGTCCGTAACTGGTCCCCTGGTCTCTGTGATCTACTGCGGCATGTCGTGGAATTTTATCGAAGAAGAGCCAGGAGAGGTGTCTGCATTCCCTCAGTAAGGTCTTTATTCATATTGCAATATGGGACAAAGCCATCACTGGTCTGTGCAGAGAAGTGAAGGCTGATTCAAAAGCAAGCAGGGAGAGCCCTTGTTTTATATATACTTTTAAGCTGATGCAACACTTCAAGGACAGGCAAAGCAGTAATTTTCCATTACTTATAGGTTTTTGCTTTAAGCAAAGAAGAGCAGTTATTCAAATAGTTTCTCACACTCCCTTCTTCAAGCAGCAGAGATAAACATTATTAAAACATCCCGTGCCCTTGACGAGCTATCACACTTTGTTCTAAGTATCCAGCTGCTTCTGTCCGTAAACAACATTTTTAGGATAAAACACTTTTTCTCAGTAACTTTCCATTACAGGCAGCAAGACAAACATAAAAACAAGCCATTGTGTTTTCCCTGATTGATTAGTGGGACGGCGCACTGATCCGCCCAGGCCCGAAGCCTCTGCAGCAGGACTCACCGAAGTAGGGCTCCTCCGACGAGCCCTTCAGGCGCACTCCTCTGGCGGAGGATTCGATGAGGTAGTGCCTCACCAGCTCGGTGGAGCCCTCTCCTGGAAGAGATGAGATCAGATTTTTATTGTCCCCTGAGGGAAACTGTTTATGGAGAGCACATCCCGGTGTGTCTGACACAAGCCCAGAGCCCCTGAGGAAGCCTCGATCACTTCAGCAAGGACACCCCTGGTTCCAGTGGAGAGGAATCTGTGCCGTCAGCCCAGCAGCAAGAGTCCAGAAGGAGACTAAAGCTGAAAACTAGCCAGCAGCTCCGTCACCCTGCAGCTCACAGCTGGCAGCCCACTGGAGCCCAGCAGTGTGAGCCTGATCAGTACCTGGAGGGGAGACTCCTGGGAAAGCTGAGGCTGCCGCTGGAAGAGGTGTTAGTGGGGCCAGTAGGGGGCGCTCACCCTGCGATCTGTTTGGGTCCTAATGCCCCAGTATAATGATGGGAACACTATACTGTAAAAAGGTGCCGTCTTTCGGATTAGATGTAAAACTGATGTTCTGACTGTCTGTGGTCATTAAAAATCCCAGGGCGTTTCTCGAAAAGAGTAGGGGTGTTTTTTTTCCCCCTGGCCTTTCCCAAACATGGCCTCCTAATAACCCCCGTCTCTGAACTGGCTTCATCACTCTGCTCTCCTCCCCACTGAGAGCTGGTGTGTGGGGAGCGGACTGGCGCATCATCCAGGTGGGGCTGCTGATGGTGGAGGGGATCCCCATGACCTGTACAGCGCTTGGAGTGGAGTGTCCAGAACAGCGCTCTATAAGTGTGAGGAGTTATTATAATAAAAAGCAGCGGCAGGTATCTCCTGCCGGGGCCATCAGCGACAGGTACCTGACTTGCCGGTTGCCGAGGCGCTGGCTGGCACTTCCTGGACCTTCAGGGCCAGGCCGAAGGAGCCGCGGTACGAGGTGCTGTCCCGCACGATGAAGGACCCGGGTTCCCTGTCCCTCAGGAGCGCGTCGGCTGGAACAGAGAGGCAGCTCTGAGGAAAGGCTCTGGGGCGATGGCTCTGCCCCCTCTCGACTAGGAGACAATCACAGTGTCCTCCCCAGAGACGACCTCACTCTCCAGCACCAGGAAGAGCAGCCTGGTGGAGGACTCCGGAGCAGCAGCGATGCGGTTCGGCTTGCTCCAGAAGGTTAGGGCAGTGATATTGTAACGCATACGGCCGACATTACAGGTTGTGACGTCACCGCCCTTCCCTGTGGATAGCAGGGGCCTCAGGCGGCAGACTGAGGGGAGATCTCCCTTTAGCTCAACTGGCTGGTTCCCTGTTGAGTGACGGCGGAGGGCCGGGTTCGAGCCCCCAGCGGTGGAGGGCCGACCTGAGGTGGGAGCAGCGAGGGCGCATACCCACGTGAACCCGAGAGCGCTACAATATCAACAACCTGAGGTCTTCCCTCATTTTCAAATCAAAAGACAGTCTGTGTCTGATGCCAGGTCTCCAGTGAGTACAAAGAGGCAGGCTTTGGAAAAAAAAGAGACATCAAGAACCGGCTTTGTAGTCGAAGAGGAGGGCGAAGGTTGTGATTTGATCTGGGCTTGGTGGTTTTACTGGTGCATAACGGTAACAAACAGCCCCCTGCGAACGGGGCCTGTGGCAGGCCGAGTTCTGTTCTGGCCCGGTCCAGTCACCCCTGGCCCAGCTTACCTTCCTCGCGAGTGATGTGCGGCCGGAACCAGAATTGCGACGTGTCCATCACGAACTTCATGGAGGGCAGCGGGCCGGACCCGTCACCTGGGAGAGGCGGAGGAGAGGTCAGAGCTGGCGGGGTCTGGGGGGGGTGGCTGGCCCCTCTCCCTGCCCTTCGGCGAACCCTTACCGTGGAGAGCGGACGTGCTGGAGGCCTTGCAGCTCCTCTGCAGGGGGGAGGCAGCGGGGCCCCCGCAGGAGGAGGGGCGCCCCCTGCAGGCCTGGCTGTCTCGGGGCGGTGAGCCGTTGACCAGCAGCACGGGGATGTCGACCAGCGAGCTGGCCACCGAGGGAGGGCAGCTGCTGGGGAGCCCCGGCGGGGAGAGGGCCTGGGGGCCCCTGGCAGGGGGGGGCTTGGCGTCGGCCGCCAGGCTGTGCTCGGAGAAGAAGGGCTTCTGGGGCCCTGGGGATTGTGGGTAGGGGCTGGCGATGTTACTGAAGGAGCCCGAGAACCCGAACCGTCTTTGGTCGGAGCTCTCCGCGTCTGCGCTGAGCAGGGAGTGGCAGCTGGGAAAGGAGAAATGGGCGTTAGGGATTTGCAAAGCAGGAGGAATTCGGCAGGGTTCTAGGACTTCCCAAAAAAAAGCTCTCTGGAGAGTACGGCCGTCCGCAGCGGCGCCACTGACCTGCCCGTGATGTAGCTGGTGTCGGAGCCGGGCGAGGCGGAGAGCAGGGAGCTGGCGCTGGCCCTGTGGCGGGTGGGTGGCAGCGCCCCTGGGGAGCAGGAGAGCTGGTGGTCGCCGTGCTGCGGCGGGAACGCGCCGGCGGCTCTGGGCCGGGAGCAGGGCAGGGGCGGCAGGGTGCCGGAGGCGCTCGGGGAGCTGGAGAAGACCAGGGTGCCGTTGGGGGAGCAGCTGCTGCCCCTGGGAGAGCGAGCGGGAATGGGCCGACTGCGGGACACGAGGGACACCCTGGAGACGGAGCCCGCCGGGCCACTGCTGGCCTGGGAGGAACACCCCCTGGGCACCAGCACTGCCTGGGACACATCCTCGTCGGGGGAGTCTGCACGGGGAGGAGAGAAAATCCACATGTTCACAGAGACCACCGCAGCCCAGCACTGGAGTCTGATCCCACCTGCCCTCCTGGATCTGCTCCTGGGGGAACAGGGGGAGCATGCAGACTCCACACAGACAGACTTACTCTGCATTACCGTGACGTCCTGCAGTCTGAGTTGCACTTTCCTGTACCGCTCTAGGCTCTCCCAAGGTTTGACAAAGATCTGTGATTAAATGCTGCCAGGCCTTTACCACAGCAACCAGACTAAACATTTAGAAACTCAGAAGGGCCGCTCGAGCACATCGTGCTGGGTGGTCGGATGCAGACGGCCGCTTGTGAGACTGATGTGTATTGATCAATGGGTTTCAGCAGCGCTGAAGTCAAATGCTGCCCTTCCACTGTGTTTGCCCTGAGGGAGGGCCCTCATATGATGACCAATTTAATCAGGTTTCATCTGCAACTGATGCTATCATGCCAGGACACAGGAATCTCTCCCCTGTGCCAACAAAGTGCGACGTCAGAGCACGGACCACCTGAAGCAGTGCTTTAGAAACTCCGGTGTGGTGCCACAGCCTCTTGCCTGGGAGGGTCCCCAGGTTATGAAATAAACTAGGCAGCACGTGACATTACAGAGCAAAACATACCCTCTGGGCTATAATTTCCCTGTTCATTAGCTGCGCACTGTGTCTTGCTAATGCTGCGTACAGACCTGGTCCAGAGCCTGCTGTCTGGATACAAGGGTGTGAGCTGCTCGCCCTGTTGTCGTCAGGTTAATTAGCATAGACTCACAGTCTAGTGCATTTCAACACCCTGAGTAGGCAGTGATTTATAAGACAAATATTTAGACACCCAACCCAGCTGAGGCACACTCACAACAGGAATGAAGACTGCCTCCCTCTGCCAAGACCATACCACGCACGCAGGAATACAATCCTTATTAAGTAGCCAGAACTGGAGGTCTCTAAAGCACAGCAGTACTGAATGAAGTTCTCTTTGGCACTTCCTGTACCGACACACACGGTTTCCTGCCCTGCAGGGTTACTCTGCCTGCGGTGGGGGCGTGTGTCCCCACACCCCGCGCCCCGCCGCCTGGCACAGCACCACAGAGACAGGGTGGGGACGCTCCCCCTCCTCTCCCCCATACGAGCGGGGAGGTCACGGAAGGACACGGAGAGATACCGCGGCCTGCAGGAGGCGAGCGCTGCTCGCTGGCACATTTAAGACAGGCTCGGTTTTCCGGGGTGGGGACAGGGGACAGGGATCGCTGTCCGAATTTGACTGAGGAGAGGCTGAGGCTGCCCTGCTCTCAGAGGGACCGGCTCCCCAAAACTAAAGAGATAAAGTCATTAAGACACAAAAACTATTCTTACATCTCTTTTTTATAATCCGCTCGCTCAGTCGGACTCAGAGCTGCACTACCTGGCTTGATGCCCTGTGCTCTTGCCCTGGTCAGACCTGGTCACCCCTGTGCTCCTGTCCTGGCCAGACCTGGTCACTCCTGTCCTGTTGCCCTGGCCAGACCTGGTCACCCCTGTGCTTCTGTCCTGGTCAGACTTGGTCACTCCTGTCCTGTTGCCCTGGTCAGACCTGGTCACCCCTGTGCTCCTGCCCTGGTCAGACCTGGTCACTTCTGTCCTGTTGCCCTGGTCAGACCTGGTCACTCCTGTGCTCTTGCCCTGGTCAGACCTGGTCACCCCTGTCCTGTTGCCCTGGCCAGACCTGGTCACTCCTGTGCTCCTGCCCTGGTTAGACCTGGTCACTCCTGTCCTGTTGCCCTGGTCAGACCTGGTCACCCCTGTCCTGTTGCCCTGGTCAGACCTGGTCAACCCTGTG